TTTTCGCGAAATGCAGAATTGAGAAAAATGGGTCGAACACCCCTTATTTATACAGAAATGAAGACAGTTTTCGAGAGTCATCATGACTTCGCGACTGTTCGCATTTCTTCTCATTTGATTTAATCGGCCTCTTCGTTTTCCTCCTTCATCACTTGACACGTGTCAAACCTAATTCTGCATGCGCAGACCTAGTCTACAAAGGCGGAAACTTTTGGCACCCAATTATTGGTCTGATCAACGTCAAATTTTGCCGGCCTGAAACTCAAGGTAAAATTGTGCTTTAAATTCTAACTTGTGCAGAGGCCGACCACATTTCATGGCGAGCCACTTTTCTTGAAATTCACCAAGTGACGAATCCTCACTTGCTCGAACCGGGGGGGGGGGGGGGGGGGGGGACTTACTGTTAGAGATGGGATTCGTACTCCCTCTAAAATCCCGACATCGATTGAGATCGGCCTATTTCGAGAACCCCAAAGAATATTTAGGTCGGCTGGATAAATGGAGATCTTCCATTTATCGGCTTAACTCCAAAAAAGACAAAAGACAAAAGACGGAAGATCGGCCTTATCGGCAAAGAAGTTTTCCTATTTCGAATGGAAGAAGTTATTTCTAGAAGACCGATCTGATCGGTATAAATATAGAAGTCATTAACTTCTCAAATCATCCGAAAATCATCTCGAGAGACCTAGGGAAACGTAGCAATCGTATTGTTCCTAGTTCTTGATTTTATTTTCATAAACAGTTTAGGTCGGCGTTCTTATTCCGACAACCTAAACCACCGTGTATCATCTGAGCTCCGGCTTTATCTTCAATAATGATCTCTCTTTAAACCCACTGACTCTTGTTCTTTATATAGATCGGATTTGAGTTATCATAGCCTGCATACAGTGCAGACCGATCACCTGATCATATGATTAAGAGTTATGATGGTTGATTACTCTTTGCCCCTTATAAAAAAAGACTTTATTTACTCTTAACGAAATTAACAAATTAATATAATCTAATTTTTAATTTTTTGTTTTTTTTTAAATCTACATTTCCAAATTTGATTTTATTTCATAAAAATATTCAGTTTACTAAAGAAAAAAAGTAACTAACATAAATCACAAAAATATCAATCCTAAATATTTTTTTAAACTAATTTTAATTTTATTAGTTAACTTACTAATATTTTTGATTAACCTAATTTATTTATGCGGCCACAAATAAACTCTAAATTTTATGAAAATTGATCTATGTGGCCAAAAAATAATATATCTCATAAAAATATATTTTTAAATATATTAATTTTTTCAAATAATTATAAAAATTGATTTTTTATCTATAGATAAAATAATGTTATTAATATTTTAAAAATTTAATCAAACTCCGCACTTTGTGCGGGAAAACACCTAGTATAGTAATATACTTGTGATTTATATGTATATATCTTTATACTTATAAAATAAAAATCAGTTGTTAATTGTGAGTTTGACATATGTCCTTTCTTATTTTCTATTCACTTTTATTATGTTTTCTTTGTTAAAAATAATTTTCCTTTAATACAATCTATAATATATAAAAGTTGAAGGCATAGTGCATTGAGGACGTCCACATAGGATTAAAAAATTCAATCTGATTGGTCCACATCAGCATATTCATTAAATAAAAAATGTTGAGTATTATTAAAACCTTAATTTTGTTTTAGAAATGAAAAAATTAAATAAAAAAGTTAAGTAACAAATAGAAAAGAAAATTATGTTAAAAAAATAAAAAATAGTATCTTTAAAAATAAAATATAAATTTGTTTTCAAAAGAGTTAAACTAAAAAAAGCCAATATCATAGAAGTTCAAACTTATAATATAGATTAGGAAAATTCTACCTTCTAAATTAATTGACAAGAAAATAAAAACATTGATTTCGTTTTATAGATGGAAAACCAAAATATAAAAAGCTTAAGTAACATATAGAAAAGAAAATTTAGTTAAAAAAAATCAAAATATAGCATCCGTCAAAATTTAAAACTTTAATTTTGCTTTATAAATAGAAAAATAAAAATAAAGAGGCTTAAATAACAAATAGAAAAGAAATTTATGTTAAAAAACCTGAACAAATAGTATCCTTAAAAATAAAATAGAAATTTGATTTCAAAAGAGATAAACTAACAAAAAAAACAGTATCATAAGAGCTCAAACTTATAATATAGATTAAGAAAATTCTAACTTCTAAATTAATTTGACAAGAAAATAAATAATATTAATTTCGTTTTATAGTTAGAAAAGTAAATAAAAAGCTTAAGTAACAAATAGAAAAGAAAATTATATTACAAAAACCAAAATATTGATAAAATAGAAATTTAATGTAAAATAGTCAAACTAACCAAAAAAATAATATCGTAATAGTAAAAAATTATAGCATTGATTAAATTAGTTTATAACTTATAATGCATTGCAAATATATAAATATATAATAATAACGTCATATGTTGTCTAGATGCTATTAGAAAACTGATCATCATTAACGTCGAGAACTTTCTTTGTCCAGTTAAGCTAATGATATTGCCAGTGGTGGAAGTCATAATAAATAAATGTTCACTTGCAATTAAAAAGATAAGCATGTTTTTCCAACAACTCATTTGTATATTCTAATCTGGAATATAATCTATGTTTACTTACCACAGTTTTACATTTTCTAAATAGTGGGCCAATTGTTTGTGTTACTCTTCTGCCAATTTTCAAAAAAAAATAATGAAAAGTGTTGTCAAACCTCTCGTGCTCCTCGCCATAATTATGAACCCAAAAACATTTCAAAGTTTGTAATCTCAAACATATAGTTACCATTGTTTTACTATTCTTTATGAAATTATATTGAATCCTGAAATAAATTAGATAATAAGATTTATTTAACTCTTAATATCATACTTTAAATTGCATCATGTAGAAGTATTATTTTTGAACTCCACTTCTTCCACCCGTTTTTTTTCCGACAAAGATATTGAAGCAACTACTGACTATACTGACTATTTGACATGGTAAATACGCTCACATGCATATACATCACCATATCTAATAATTTTTAACATTTTATAAATAAAAATAGGAGAAAATAACACATTATTTATTAAATGCTCTAATATAAATAAAAATTTCTATAAATATATTATAGTTTTTAATAATTTAAAAGATAGTAGCCAAAAAGAATTAAATCAAACTATTAATACAGAGCGCAAGTTATATACCTAGTTAAAGAAAAAATAATTGTATTTTATTTCTAATCAATATTAGTAGTTGCACATGTAATAGTCATTCTCCGCGATCAATTGTGGTTATTTTCTTTTCCACTACTCCACTTTCTCCGGAAAACAAGATAATTGTTCTCTTCAATGTTTTTATTCTGTTTCTACACTACTACTACCCGATAATAACAAATATTTAGGGACAATCTTCATTAAACATAGAAACTAAATATCTTTTCAAATTTAATTTTAGTTACGATTTATTTTATATGAGCGATGAATTTCTATCCAAAGCTCTTCACATTCTATATTGATTCTCACTGATTTGAGGTAAATGCTTTGTTCTTCTTCTTTTTTTCTTTTCTATTTTGATTTATGCACTATTTGTTACATATTTACTCTCGGATAAGATTTTTCATATATTTAAACATTATTCATTTGACACAGGTCCTCTCTCGCTATTAAAATCTTCCAAGACACTTCAATTTATGTGGTCATGTTGCAATACATAGAAATAACGTGTTATTATAATAAAATTTAGCTTAATTTTCATTTATTTGTGATTGATCAATAATAAGTTTTTCATTGTTCATTTCTTTCTTCAGATAAATCAAAGTTTATTTATATCTGTAATTTTTTTGTTGTATATAACTGTAATTTAGTTTTATTTGTAGGTAAAATTAAATTTATGTGCTAGCACGGGATATAATACTAGTTTTTTTATAAAACGATTAATAACAATGAAATATAACATGTATTAAACATGAAGCATTAGTGGCTTATGTGTTATTATATCAGTTGTTCGAATTTTTTAAATCCCAATAATGGTTAAAATCTTAAATAATTTATTCTTGCAACCAAACACAATCTTTCTTGTAACCAAACAAAAACTTCTCTAATTATTTATTTTTATTGCATTCAATGTTTTAAAATATGCAATTAATATTTAGGTTTTTTGTATATAATTTAAACAATTCGATTTGAATAAATATGACAGAAAATTTAAGTGAATCTTTGTTTTTTTTTAAATTATCTAACATATATAAAATAAAAAGCACTAGCTTAAATGTCATTATCTTCTTTTTCTAATATTTTTTATTAATTTATTTTTGTATGCTATCCTTACCGAATACTTTATTTTAAATCTTTTAATTTAAATTGAATTTAAATCGAACCAATCACAAATAATTTGATAATTTTATTGGTTTAGTGAATTAAATTAGTTGCCTATTTTATTAATAGAAATAAAAATTATTTCCATGTTTTAGATCTACGAGTATTTATTGTTTTGCAACAGCTTTGATTCACATATTATACAAACGAAAAAAGAATATTATTTTTTGAAACCTCGGACGAAAATAAATGTAAATCTCGTTTTGTATAAATTTAAATTAAAAATAAAAATAACTAAATTTTTTTAAATCCCGACTTAACAGTTTTAGATACCCAAATATTTTTTAAAACTTAATAAATTATAGAATATCTTTTAAATATTTTTGCATACATTACCCTGCACGAACGTGGAGGTAGTAACCTAGTCTTAGATAAAATTAACAGCATCATAAATGCCGGTAATGGAAATATAGTAACATAATAATGAGAATTTAAAATTTATAGAATATCAATCAACACTAACCAAAAACGGTTACAACTATTAAGGGATTTTAATTATAACGAGCAATTAATAAGAATTTATTTGACTTCTTCTCAAGCAAGCTATCACCCTCTCTCTCCCTCCCCTATATAACGAGTCAGATTATCATGAGAAACCATGAGACAAATTAACAAAAAAAAAATGGAAGAACACGATTCAGACATGATTTCCGAAAAACGGCCGCTAGATTCTGAGATAACCGGAGATATCACAAACCCTAAACGGCGGCTAGGTTCTTTAAAGGTAATCCAATTTGTGGACAATGTCGTCTACAGATTGTACTTCAAAGGTTTGGTGAGTGACGAAACGGTGGCTGACGGTGGAGAAAGGACCGTTACGGCTGGATTTGGTGTCGCAATTTGCGACGAAGAAGATAATTTGTTGTATGAGATGAAGGAATCGCTGAGTGACGGCGAGATTAACCGCAGAGGAGTGGAGATTAGGGCATTGGTTCATGGGTTAAGTGAAGCTTTCAAGTAGGGAATCAGAAATGTCAAGATTCATTGCGATGATTATGCCATCCTCCAATTCGTAAGTGTTTTGTATTCTTTGTTATTGTTTTCATTAGTTTATTGTGAAATCATGAGATTATAATTGTTGCTTAAGAGTAATTATTGTTTGAGAATAATAACCATGAATTGGTGGTGATTAACATATTTTCTGATTTGACCTGTTACGATATTCTTCTTTTGGTAATTGCAATTGCTAATGTTACTTGGAAATTGCAATCTTCGAATTAAGATGAGAAGTTGAATAGGCTTCTGTTGTTACCATATTGTTGACTGTAATTCTCACTACGTGAACATTCCTTTCATTTCCAATTAAAAAAAAACCATGGACTTAATTTGTTTGCTTCATTTTTAATGTAAGAGCTCTCTCGGATGTTAAATTTCCATTTGTTTTTTTCTGTCTGTTTCAATTTTTAAACATATGAGTTTTCTGATATTCTCATGTTTGATCCTACGAGATTGAATCTGATTTTCCATGTAGATAAATGGTGGAGCAAAGCCTAACCAGAACAATATTGCTCAGCATGTGAAAGAAGTCCGTCGCCTTAAGAAAATATGGCGTCTTGTGAACCTCTTATGGTTGCACTTAACGATGTGAAGTTTGCATTTAAACTTGCAAGAGATGCAATAGCTTCTCAAAGCAGCAGCGGCGATTCAAGGGCAGCTCAGGGAGAAACTTGTGCCATATGTCTTGTAGAAACCGATAATGACCGGATGTTCTTAACTAACAAATGCATTCACCGTCATTGCTTTTCTTGTGTGAAACAGTATGTGGAAGTGAAGCTGCTTAGTGGAATTGTGCCTACATGTCTCGGTGAAGGATGCAAGTTAAAGCTTACTCTTGAAAGCTGTAGCAAGATTTTGACAACGAGGGTTACTGAGATGTGGAAACAAAAGATGAAAGAGGATTCTATTCCTGCTGTAGAACGAATCTATTGCCCATATCCAAACTGCTCAACGTTGATGTCCAAATCCGAGCTTTCGAGCTCTGAGGACTCAGACCAGTCCAATGTTCGGGAATGTGTTAAATGCTGTGGACTCTTTTGTATGGATTGCAAAGTACCATCACATACCGATTTGTCTTGCGCTGATTACAAGAAACTTCACCCTGACCCTTTAGTTGATGACACGAAGCTAAAGTCTCTTGCAAACGACAATAGGTGGCGTCAATGCGTCAAGTGTAGGCACTTGATTGAACTTTCTCATGGCTGCAACCACATGACTTGCAGGTATAAATTTATACATACATATAGACACTCATTTTTCATAATAGCTGTCATTTTAACAATTAACTTTTGTTTTATAAAAAATGTGTTTAAAAATATTCCAGTACATATTTAACTACTTTCATGATAGGTGTCATTTTTACAGTTATCTTAATATTATTTTTATAAACTTCATATGAAAAGGTTTTTTATATAATGTAGATGTGGATATGAGTTTTGCTACAAATGTGGGATTGAATGGAAGAAGAGCCAACAAATTTGCCCTTCTGGTTGCCAACTTACTGGCTATGGTGATTATGATGATGAAGATGACGATGATGATGATGACTCAGAACATACTTGTGAGGAGGATATGTGTGATTGCTATTACGATAATGATGGTGTTCGTTGGCGCGATTTTGAAGATTTTGTTGATCACCAACCCCCTGTGTAAGTTTTTATGCTCTCTTATGTAAGTCCTTTGATTTATCAATACAATTGATTGTTGTATTTGACTAACTTTGTTCGTTCTTGTAGCTATGACATGTTGCCTCTTCCTCCGGATGCGGTACAGGAGTATAATCTTGAGGAGCTTTTCATTGAAGAAGGGAATGGTGATGGATATGATGAGAATGGGAATTACAACTATTGCGGTTTAACTGAATCTGATAACGAAGGAGGCTTTGAGGACGTTTTTAGGGATTATTATTCACTTTAATTAATATCTCTTTGGATCAACAAAGAACTTTTAAAATTGTTTAGGAACTGTAGTTCCTTTTTTTTCTTTGCCATTTTCTTTGTTTCTGGCTTTATAATGTTTAAGTGACAGACGAGGAAAGTTCAATTGTGATTTGAGTTGACACCATCCGACTTTTGTATTTATGATGAATGTAGATATAATCCATACACCGAACTTTGTAATATAATTTTATGCATGACACGATTTTGACTAGGTAGATAGGAGAGACTAGCTCATTTGTTTTATTAAAAAAAGGGACATCTCATTTTCCAGTAAAATCAGTAGTCCACTACACTTGATTTGAAGTACTAGAGATTCATCTGCGCTCCGGCAAATTATTTATAAATCTAATTTTAATTTTCTATATTTATATTATGATTATATTTATTTATTTTGTATTTTTTATATTTTTTTTTGTTTTTTAAAAATTTAAAACATTATCTTTATTTTTAAAAATATAATTATATTATTATTTATTATTTTATAGTAATATTATATTAAGATTCGCGTAAACGGGGATTTATAACAAAATTTTAAACTCATTATAACAAATAATAAAAATAAATTTAGATCACTCATGGAAAATATATTAAAAACATAAAATTCAAAACGATTAACTCTACTTTTTTTTTATTTCAATATCTTCTCAACTATTGTTTTCTATTTTTCTGCGTTAAAAAAATAGGTATGCAATTCAAATCTTTTAAATATGTTAACTCTCTCCAAGTAAACAAAGTTTCATTTTTTCTTCATATTCATCGATCTCTCTCTTTTAAGAGAAGTTATGTCAATACTCATATCAAAAACTTCTCTACATGATTTTTGCTGATCTTCTAGTATCATATAAATATATCATTAGCATCTAAAATTTTTTTTTCTTGTAATTTTACGTTGAAAATTTTGCATGTAACACTTTTTTAAATTGTCTAACTATTAAATACCAAAAACACTTTACATGAATACAATATTCAGCAAATCAATTATAAATGATAAAAACTTGAATCTTATTATATAAAATATTTTAATAATAATAATATAATAAAGGAAAGAAAATTAAACTTATAGAATGAGAGAGTTTATGTGTTTATATAGATGTGGATAATATTTTTCTTTTTCATTTAAAATTAGTGTTTTAGTTTATTTTTCTTTTCCAAATTGAAATATTTTTTTTTATTAACTTTTTTTTTCAAATAGTAGTTTCTTTTTCCTTTTAGGATTAGTGTTTTACATTATTTTCTTTTTCCAACCTATAATATATTTTTTTATTTAAAAAAAAAACATTTAATCAAGACACATGTCAAAATCTAAATTGAAAGACTCTCCTCTTGTCATGATCTTGTGAATTACTAACTTTGCCGCATCCAACTTTATATAATAAGATATATTTATTTATTTTATATTGTTTTATAGTAACATATTTATATTATTACTATAATTTTTAAAATGTTATCTTTGTTTTTTTTTTAAACATTTATACTTATTTTTATTGAGATCAACAAAGTTATTTCACTACCAATCCCACTCACTCTTTTTTATTTATTTATTTATTTGAAATATAGTATTCTGAATTTTTAATTTAAGGTACTTTGCAGAGTTTCATGTTAATCCAAATTTTTTATTTTATAATTATATATATTTATATTACTATTATGTTACCTTTTTCATGTTTTGTTTATTTTTATATTTTAAATCTTATTTTAGTTTTTTTTATTATCCTAAAATATGTGTAGATCTATTGTGAAAGTATTTTTGTAATATAAATTGTGATATGTTAATTATTTAATTATTTAAATTGTTAATTATCTTTTTACTGAATATTTTATTTTATTATTTTATATATTTTTTATTTGTAGCGAGATCAACAAAATAATTTCACCATCAATCTCACTCATTTTCTTTATTTTTTTTTTATTTTTTTTGGTTAAGAGCCTCATTTTTCTAGAACACTGAGATAACCAAGTCAGGGGAATTGAGTTTACATAAAGAAGATAATAAAGGTGGTTTCGAGAACTTTGTGCTAACTTGCCCGCCTTTGTGTTCTGCACGCGTGAAATCTTTGACATTGAGAAAAAAAAAAACCAAACTCTCTCCTTCTCTTCTCGTATTCTTTGAGATGTATTTCGAAAGCTGGCCACTCCCTTAGATTAGACACCAACTTTACCAATTCAGAGTAGTCCATGACAAAAGTCACCGCCAATCACCTAGCGTCGAGCATGCAATGCTTTGCCGATATCAAAGCCACCAGCTTTGTATGCAAAGACGTTATACTTCTTCCAACGTTCTTCATTTTTATTAACGTACCGTCCGTTCCCACTCCCTGACTGAACTACCCTAACCCTGCATTGGGTACGCATTCCTTCCATAATCCATTTGTATGGCAAATTACCCAGTCATAGGCCAAAAACCTATCTTGTGCATCCATCAGTATCATTACCACCTCCGCATTTGTCTGTGCCTCTTCCTAAGCATGTGCTTCGGTACTTGCTAATTTCACTATTTCGCGGGGGTCTCAATTGATTGATGTTTGAGAATATCTTGTCATTTCTCATTTTCCAAATATACCATAAAATCCAAGGATATACCTTCATGTCTGCATGATCCGGAAGATGCCAAAATAGACTGGCCATATTGGAATATAAAGAATCAGTTGAAAACTGATGTAAATATGTTGGTATTGATGATAATGCTCAAACCTGAAATGCATGAGGGCATTCAAAAAGTGTATGGCTTATAGTGTTCTTATCCACATCACATCTACTGCAATGTGGATCACAGTTTACACTTCTGCTTTGTAGGCAGTCTATGACCGTCAAACACCCTGAAAGTAATTGCCATAGAAAATCTTTCATCTTTGGTGGGCATTTCACCTTTCATACTTGTGCCTGTAATTTACAGACATTCAGTCCATACAAAATTGGTGTAATATCTTGTTGGGAATAACTTTGCTCCGTTAAATATCCTGATTTGACAATGTATCGCCCTGTTTTCGTAAAATACCTACCCAATACAATATTATATTTATATATTACTATTATGTTTACCTTTTTAATATTTATTTTATTCTTTTTAATTTTAAATATTGTTTTAGTTTCTTTTATTATTCTAAAAATATGTAAAGCTATTGTAAAAAAAATTTAAAATAAAAATTATGATGTGTTCGATTGTAAAAAAATACATATATTATCATATGCATCTATATTTTTTCACTAAATATCTTTATTTACTTGGATTTTATTTATATATATTGCTTATTTTTAGCAAGATCAATAAAATAAATTAATCATCAGTCCAACAAACTTTCTTTATTTCTTATTTACAATAGCATTCTAAAATTTTAATTTATAAACTATTTAAAATTTTTTGTGGTTTGTATAATAAGTGTTTGTTTTTAGTTTAAAGCTATATCTTTTCAACATCTAATTTGTACGTAAAAACCCACTACAAAAATAAAAATTAGATAGTTTCTAGTTTTGTGGTTTGTAAAATATCTATATATCAAAATTATAAAAGCCCATAAAAAAATTGTTGATGTGTCTTTCCGGAGTTTTGCGAGGCCGATCTGAGAACTTTGTCTTCCTGCGCCACTTGAAACAGCATCTCGATTTGCCGCGCAGCAAGGTTCAGTCTCCAGAAAATTACTGACAGCAGGAATGCGAGGGTCCACCTGTTCTTCTTCTTCCACCGCCTCAGAAGACTGTGTTGGGGTTGCATACGAAGAGGTGACAAAAGGTTGTCTTGAAATAGATCCGGTCGGTGCTGCTTTCCAATAGAGCTTGAGTTGATCATCTTCAAGATCATGAACAATCATGGGGGCTTTATCAGAGCGATGATTTGGGTTTCGCAGTTTGAGAAGGGCTTCGGCAAGGGTCTCGTTGTCATCTGGAATAGATCTGCTGAGCTTGGGATCGAGTATGACCAGTGGGAAGCATGATAACTCCAGCAGTGAGAGACAATCGCTTAGGGTTTCTTGGCTGAGATAGAGAGAGACGGCTTTGTGGCACAGGAATCATCTTCATATGATATATATCATGCGGCAACCCTAACCTTCTCTTGTCAAACATCTAAGCCCACATCAGTTCACACAATAATTGGGCCATACGGGCCCATGACAAGTAAGAGTGTGTAACACAATTTTAACCCGTTTTATTTATTTTTCACTCACTAGACACAAACAGAATTTAATCTAAACAGAGACTTAAGATAGGACCCACGACATTATGTAGACACAGCAGTCCAAACAGCATAAACGCCTAGTGTATCACGCAACCAAGGATCTGTGTTGTGGAAACAGGTTGCAAGGATGAAAGACAGCTAAATATGCATTACACGCACTAAATTTTTAAGGAAAAGTTAACTTACAGGCTCAAGTATGTAGCTAACACTCAGCTGAGATGCTTTGACATACTTGATCAATCTCAGTTCTTTGCAGTGACTCCGCACGAAAGGACAGATTGGTGAATAACGCAGGTATGAGTGGAGCTAGCTGAGATTTTCTTAAATGACCATGAGGATTGAGACAACACACATAACTTAATTTCAGGGATGATCGTTAGAATCACATATGCAGCACCACTCAGCCGAGCTGTTTTCACATATTTTTGAAGTAAGATATGAGACAATTGATTCAAAGTTTACTGAACCATCCCTTGAGCTCAGCATTTGTCTAGTTATAGCTGATCATGACGGCTAACAATGCTGAATCGTGATTGTGACAGCAATCAGCTCCAGATTGAGTGTTAGTCATTTCAGACTAGATAATTTTTAGTTGTTTTTCTAGACAAATATTTAGCCCCACTCATACCAGTATCCAATCCAAACAGTAATCAACTTAGACTCAAAATTTTTTTGCATCCTGATCGAAGATGAGTGTTTTTCTCACAGGACATTCACCTTTCTGTTTCTCATGACAGTCAGCTGTTCTTAACTTTGATCAATTTGTCTGCAAGGGGTTTTTGAGAAGTGCATGTAAAGACATATATGTTACTAGCTAGTGCCTTCTCCCTCAACCTGCAATAGGATTAGAGTTCACACGACTTTCTGAGATACAGAAAGCTGTTAAGATCAAGAGGTTTAGTGAAGATATCAGCTAGTTGATGTTCAGATGCCACATGCTTAATAATGACGAGTTTCTCTTCAACAAGTACTCTGACAAAATGATGACTTATGTCAACATG